ATATATGTGTGTGTGTGTGTGTGTGTGTGTGTGTGTGTGTGTGTGTGTGTGTGGGAGAGGGCTGTCTAGTGAAATATATCTTGTGCGGCTGTAGTATACGTACATAGATACATACATACATACACATACATATATATATATATATATATATATATATATAGTTATGTCTTTTTACTTTTTGTAAAATAATTGATTTCCTGTATTTGTTAAAACAATAATGAAGAAGCTTTTAATTTTTTTTTTTCAAATGTCATCCCCTCAACACGAAATTTCTAAAATCGTATAAAAGTTTAGAAGTACTTATTGCTGCATTCTAGCACTTCCTGGAGCCTTTTAGAATTTCATGGAACCTTGTAGAACTTGTTTTTATTTAATTGTAAATTTGTATGATATGCTATACCTATGAAATGTTAAATGCGTTAAAATACATAAGTACTATCCAATTAAATAATTAGCAAATTGGAAAATGTAGCTTCTGAAATATTTTGATTTTTACCCTGATGTCGTATATGCTCAACTCGAATTTTCGGTGTGATCGTGATCGTTTTCAAAAACAAAGGCTAATTAATGGCTTTTTTCATTACCTTTGAACTAAGGTTCATCGAATTATGACACGAGAACATAGGGTTAGAAATAAGTTATAACCCTAAAAACACACACACACACACACATATATATATATATATATATATATATATATATATATATATATATATATATATATATATGCGTAAATCATTTTAACTATATGCATGGTATTATATAGATATTTATTTATGACCAATGAGGGAATAAGGGAAAGTAAACTTCTGAATAGAGATTGCCTGCCCTACCCTAACCCGTACTTGAAACTCAGCATTCAGATTTCTAGCCGCAATTAAGACAATATTTTTTGAACGTTATACATTTTTCTTTTTTTCTTTCATTTAAAAATTTGGACCGATATGTGAAATTAAAAAATGCCTCATAATTCTAATTACCGTAGTCACTCCCTGTTGAGCACAATCTCACTGTGCCTCTGTCTGTCTGTCTGTCTCTCTCTCTTTCACTCTTTCTCGTTATATATATATATATATATATATATATATATATATATATAAAATATTTTCAGTTTATCGACATTCTTATTTATTCTTTTATTAATTATATTAGTATTATTGAGTTTATACTCCACACTCTATTAACACAGTGCAAGACAGAATAGTTTGTATGGCATAAAAAATACTTACAGTATTAAAATATAAATAAATAGATAAAATTAAATAAAGATTTTTACATAGCGTGTGTTCGCCCCGAATGCCCTTTCATAAAAAGAAACTTCTTTTTGACATAAGAATATACAAAAACATCTATACATCTCTCTCTCTCTCTCTCTCTCTCTCTCTCTCTCTCTATATATATATATATATATATATATATATATATATATATATATATATATATATATATGCGCCCGTGTGTGCGCTTGTGTGTGTGTGTGTGTGTGAGGAACTCATGAAGAGTTTACTCAAGACGAGCGAGAAAATTTTCTCTGAAAGTCTTAAAGAGGAATGGAAAACTTTATAAATGTCATTTACACTTGAATATTATAAAACTTAAAAGAATGTAATAAAATATAGAAAAACAAATAATACAATAAATAAGCCAAAAGAAATCCTTTAATAATCTCTTCTTTTTGCAGTTTTATCGAAAATGCTACCTGGTTGGAGAATTTCTTGTAGAGATATAAGTTTTAAATTTTCTAAAAAATAAATGAATAAAGCAAACGAATAAAACAGAGTGTGAAATAAATGACGAAATAGTCGTTGCAATATAAAACTATAAAAAAAATTTACCATTTTATATTCGCAGTTTATGAAGATGTTCATTGAAGTAATTTTATTGTCGACATTTCTCCTTACTTATAACGATTTTACTATTTAGTATTTGCTTTCTAATAGTACATATTAGAAGTAGTCTGAGGTTAAAAGAAAATAGTATGTCAGTAATTTAAGTTTATATCTTATTTTAACATTTTCCTTTATTTCTTTTATCCTAACCCCCATTCTCGTCTACAGTCCGGAAAAAAAACAACCAAATCTTTTGTGATATAAAATAATAATTGTAACGAAGCAGCATGATACTTGGTCCATTGGACGTTACAGCACTATACCAACATGAGTAGTTAGAAATTTAGGGAAGGCGAAAAAAACACCGGATTATGTGAAACTAGATGGATAAAAATAAGTCGATCCCAGAATTACATATTCTGGCGACGAGAGCAATTAAGGAGCAGTAGGACTAATATTAAAGACAAGAGGAAATGTGTTTTTGCCTATTGGCAAAAGGCAGGCACTCTTCTAGTGAAATTGAAAGGGAAGTTATCCAATATAGTAATCGTAGTGTTTTATGAATCAATGTCGCAAAGCACTGAATAAGCAATAGATAAGTTTTACAGCACTCTAGATAATGCCAGAAGTATATGAAAATCGCTAGTAATTCTCGTTATTATGGCGAACCTGAGAGCAAAAGTAGGAAAGGAACAAGACGGTGAAATAATCAAACCATATGGACACACATCGCAAAATGATCGCGAATGAAAATGGGTTCAGTAGTGAATTGCGAGCGACTAAGTAACATCCAACGAAAAGGAAGAACAGCCAAGAGTCTTGTGAACATGGAAACGAACAAGAATAGTACATAAAAAGACAATAAATTACCTAGAATCAGTGAAAGATTTAGAAATGCAGTTTTCCGTTCTATAAAACATTCAAGGGTCATTTTGGGACTGATCACCTGCTAACCAGATGCAAATTAAGGGTCAAATTACGAACCAACCTCAAGCAAAGGCTAAACAAGAATACAACAGACACCAGAATGACTTAGTTTGTAGATAAACTAACGTAGCTACAAACAAATATATAGTTTTTGAAGTGGTCAGCAGCTCAAATCTGAACATCGTAAAAGAAGCACTCTTCTACTTTATGTGCCATACCGCCTCAGGATGTAGGAAATCATGACTCGCCACAACTTCCTGTTCTTTTTAGCTCTTAATAAACTTTTTCTTTCTGTTATTTCTCCTAAACCCTATTCCGCCATCAATTTACTCACTAAGTCTGTTATGCGGTGCTTTTCTTTGTCCTTCTTGCTCTTCTGTGAGTATCAGATTTTCCAAGCCCTCCTTCTCTCATTATGTACCCCAGAAACCTCAACTATCTCTTGCTGGTGTTAAATATAAGTTTGCTTTTTGTTTCCATTTTCTATAAAACTTCGTCGTTGGTCACATATTCAGTTGATGGTATCCTCATCATCCTTCTGTAGAAAGCAATGTCTGTTGTCTCAAGTCTCTTATTCATCTTTGGGGAAATTTTCTAGTATCCACAGAACTCGCTACCATAAATTAGGACAGATATCACGTGACGGCTTAATTCTCTTTTCCTTGTTTCTAGCGAAGTTTTTCTAATTTTTTAGTACTCTGTTTAACTTTTGCAATTCTTCTTTGGATATCACAATACGCCTTCCAAGATGTTTAAATTCTTGTACTTCGATTTGCAATTACCACGTTGCTAACAACCATGCATTTTATCTTCTTGCAATTGTTGTTTAATCCTTTCTTTTCACTTTCTTTCATTAACTTCTGTAGGAGTTTTTGTAGTTTTCTTTCTGTATCTGTCCGAAATACAACATAAACGAGAAAACTGACGCAAAAATATCAAGTTATTTTCCTTAAGCTCATCCTATAATTTAGTATTCTGATCTTCTGGTAGAGAAGTGGAAAATAATATTAGCTAAACTCTCTGGCTAAGGTAGTACCTCTCCTTCAGAAAGTGGGCGAGGTTTACTACCCGGCACTTGAGACGCTGGAAAAGGGAAAGTTCCGAGGGTGACATGAACAACTTTTTCAGCGGTATTGCCGTTAAATCCACTTACAAGTTCAGTTTGCGACGTGGGGGCGCTGAAAAATACAATTTGTCTAGAATCTTGCTTCTGGCAGGGAAGTTGATAATAATATTTGCTCAAGCCGCAGTGGGCCATCCCCCTATCAGTACCTCACCTTCGAGAGGTAACTGAAGTTATTAACCGGCGCCTGAGTCGTCTCTAATAAGGGAAAGTGCCGAGAGGGCATAAGCAATTTTTCAATGGTGTTACCGTTGAACACAAATTAAACTGAAGTTGTGTCACACTCGGTTGGAACATGAGAGCACTGATAAATACCCCATCTTATAATTTAGTATGTAACAGGGAGGTCGCTATTTCTTATACTTTTCAAATTTCCTTCATTATCTAAATTCAGGTATTTAAAATGAATTAATTGGCTGAGATAATTTTATCTGTAATAAAAAAAATAGAAATTCATAATATAAAAGAATGACTCAAAACATTCGATAACTTAAATATATTACGTCCACTACTTGATGTAAACAAACAATAGTGTATAGGATGATTAGGATGAAAAAGTGCATAGCTATATAATTAAATCTGAATGATGTCATCTGGTTCGTTTTCGTTGCCTAGTCGATAAGATGCTGTTTAATTCAAACGGGTCTCCCAAGAGACTGAAGCAATTTCGAATCTCATCAGAAACCACTTTTTTGATTACTTTCGAATCATGTTACTTGTTTCAGGATCGGAGAATATAAAACTAATTTAAGCTTTGCGATAAACAGTAAATAAATTAAATAAAATAAAGAAATTCATACTCGGGGAGAAATTATAGACAAGAGACTCGTTAGTAACAAAAGAAAAAAGTTTTAATACGAGACAAAAATTTAATGGTAGGGAGAATAACATTTCATTTCGCATTCATTATATTTTGTTTGGAGACCATTTCCCCAAAAACACTTCCCCATTGTGTTAGGAGAAGAAATGGATTCTTGCCTTTCCCAAAGGTATTAGTGTGAAGTGAAGACATATTGTCTCAGCCTGAAAACTGAACTAAGGCCGTCGATTCCAGTTCTCGTTCTGTTACATTCCTCCTATTGCTTCGTCCCCCACCCACATCTCATTTGGCATCTACTTACATGGAAACTTTGGCATCTACTTACATGGAAAACAGAATTTTCGTATTTTGCATCAGTAAATAGACAAATAATTTGAGTACAGCGGAACGGTTTCCCAGGATGCATCTCAATCCTTCTTGAGAGCATTAGGCTAGGGAATTTGACTTGATGTGTGCCTCAAATATTAAATTACTCAAAACAAACACCAGCCCAGACGAAAAAAGAAATATTCTGTAATATTTTAAATCTTTTAAATTACACAAAATAGATTCACTTTAGATCAGAAAACCATCAGCATCTCTTCATTATGTTATGATGGGTAAAGTTAGGGGATTATAATGTCGACTACAGAAAAGACGGAGAAGTTCACGTACATTTAGAAGTAAAGTTTATTCTAAGTTGGTATCACGCGTTTATCTAGTAATAGTTCACAAGGTTGATAATGGTTAAACTTGTGGCGACAACCTACTTAAAGACTAGTCAGTTCTTGTAGACTTTACCTGGCTTGGAGATCATCTTAATTTACACAAAATAATAATGACAAAACGACAAGAAATTTAATCCGATACATTAAAAGCGAAACCCAGTGTACAGACGATAATAGAATCTTTTGATTTCTATTTTCTCCCAAATAATCCTTGTGTAATCATATTTTTATCTCATGCATTGTCAACTAAAGAAGTCTTCAATTCCTCAACTATTTATTGGCACATTTTTATTACTATTAACCCAATAAAAGGCCCAGGAGCTACTCAACGTAGAAAGTTATTAGAGGTTACTGTAAGGTTAAACAGGAAGGGAGCAGAGTTGCATATTATGAAAATACGTAGGGTAGATAACGGTTGACCCTTGACCTGATGAAGTTAAGATTCTAGTTATCGGGGAAGTATCATCTCGTAAGTTCCGAGAAAGATGCTGTTTGACTGAAACTCCCAACCAATAGAATAGAAAGGGAATGACAGTAAATTGACTATTGTACGTGGCCTGGCGATTCCTAGCTTTAAAGGTTTGAACCATTTGGAACCAAGGATTATAGTTAGCTCGAGCATCTTCCATGAAAATAGAGACAGAGAAGCGAAAGGCTAGCAATATTTCGTCTCGGGGAAAGGGGTTGTAGGGTATAAAACTATTCTGTATAGTTTTTTGCTGCTAATCCATTTGGCCTTGTAGGAAACACATAAATGTCCTGATATTTTCTTTCTGTCACTAACAGGTCCCAAACTTTCTCATCACACAAAAAAAAATCAGTACGTGAGCGGAGTCGTTTCTACATTTATTGAATTAGGAATGTTTTTGCGTCCTCGAGTTCCATTTACGATAAAGCACTGTCCATTTAAGGCTTCCTGTTCCCCCTGGGTTTATTTGCAACACCATATCAATGAATCTTAACTTGGTGACAACACCTAACTTGAGCACATCTTCTGTTGGGAAATTTTTATCTGATACGTGTTAAATTATAAATGTAATTCAAATTGTTGAGGACGTGTGGACATTGAGTTACGTACATACAAAACGTGCATAAGAGTCTATACCACTGGCTCGAATTATATGCTCTTTCACACCGACCGCCCGATATACGATCATAAAGCAATATAGATCGGAGGATTACATTTGTCCAATCTGCTTGAAAGAAAACGTCTGGTTGATAATAGTGACGCCCTCAATAAGTATGGATCTAAACAATAGCAATTTACAAGAAAAATGCAAGCATTTCCATACGGCAAATATCGGAAGAAAGATATGTCAAATGCTTTTGTTCTATCCATCCAGAAGATATGTAGTCACGGTTCTCAACATCATCTTTTCTTTTGTTGCTTCCAAGAAACATTTACCCCTTTACTAACATTCTTTGCCTTTGTTCTTCTATTTATTAACTCAAAATCGACAAGTCGGTTACTCTTTGTTTTCCACTTCTTCTCTTATCTTCTGTCTGTCGTGTGAGTGTTATATTCTGCAAGGCTTCTATCCTCAATTTTAATATTAGCTTTCTCTTTCTGATTGTTAGCAGAGGTTTCCTTGTAGTTCCTCTCGGTTTCAGAACATAATTTCTTTAATGTATATTCTTGCGTATATATCGAGCCCATTATTTGAGGGACAAGGACAAATTTATGGTTTACGTTATGTATAGATCTATCCCTTATTTTGGAGCAACAAAGAAGTTTTAGGAAATCGAACATTTGTATTTAAAAATTAGAGGGAATTTTTTACTATTCTACCCTCTGCCATTTGACTAACCCTAGCTCTACCCCTAACCCTATTGAAGAAAATGAATACACTACAGTACACTTCTGCGGTTCTATAAATAACTGATAAAATGGTTAACAAAGAGACAGGCTAATAGTAAAATTAGAGAGAGATTTGAACTTTCTTAGACATATATTGAAGAAAGAGAACTTGAATATTTAGGAAATCACAGGAAATATCTAAAGAAGAAATAGATTTATTTTTATTTATTAACCCGATATATATTTATCACTTTAAACGTAACTTATTACTAGATAAACGTATGATACCAGCTTAGAATAAACTTTCCTTCTCAATGTACGTGTACTTATCCGTCTTTTTTGCAGTCGACATTATAATCCCCTAACCTTACCCATCATAATATAATGAAGAGATGCTGATTGTTTTCTGGTGAATGTTTTTTTTGTAATTTAAAAGATTTAAAAGAGAAATTAGTGGGGGATTAAGCAATAGGAGGAGTGTAACAGAACGAGAACTGGAATCGACGGCCTTAATTCAATTTCCAGGCTGAGACAGTATGTCTTCACGTCACACTATTGCCATTGGGAAAGGCAAGAACGTAACTTTTATTCGATACCATTTTAGTGCATCCACTAATTAAATATATATATATATATATATATATATATATATATATATATATATATATTAATGTTAGAAAATGTGCTAACTGGAGGGCGCATTTGTTTCTTTTTTTCTCGAATATTCAAGCCGGTAGACGAAAATAAATATATACTGTTTAAAAAGTAAATGCGGCTTTCATTCAAATATGGGTATCCAATAAAAATAAAGTTTAAAGTGATAAAAACATTCACAGAAATATTAATGGCAAGAGTGACAGACAGAAACATCGAACGGCTTAATAAATGGGCTTGTTTTATATGAATGGCAAAGCTGCGACTGGGTTATATAGTAAAAGGATAAATATTAGTTAGAGCCAGAAAAAATAGGAAGTTGTAGAGAGCTATGATTGCACACGTCCTGGTGTGAAGGACTTGTGAAAGAAGATTCGTCATTGAAATTAACCATGTTAATATTTTGAAGTCAGAGCTTTTCAATCTATGTTGCTTGATATTTTGTCTTCATTATTTAAAGGCAAATCAGCCATTGTTCCTTGCCACAGGCACCATGTAACTTTTTTTAGTATTATCTACAGAGATGGGGACCATTAAGAAACTCTAAAAATTCTATGCTTCTTCGCACGAAAAACTAATTTGTCGAGTTGACTCCCAAGAGGATACTTCTCTGATCACTTGTATTTTAAGTTTTCAGTTTGAGGGTTAACCGCTATCTTCCTCACATATCCCCATAAACTGTGCCCCTTGCCTCTTATTCTGTAACCCCCTACCTCGAGTGGCTCTAGGGCCTTCTATAGGATGAACATTATCATAAAAACATGATACCAGTCAAAGTATTTTAATTATGTAATGAAATGGTAAATAATTTTCATCATAACATAAGCGTTATATCTTACCTGTTTATCGTTTAATTCAACGTGAAGAAACTATTAGGCAACATACCTGGGTTGACATTTCACTTGAACATTTTTTCTTGAACTATTCAACTTATAACCAAGTGTATATTAACTTAGGAAAAATGGCGAGAAAAGGTAAACAATGAAAGGTGAACGCTTTCAAATTAAGAAAACCGTGAAGCTCACAGAAATGAATTGGAAATCCTTTTAAAATATGAAAAAAAATGAAAATAAAATTCAATAAATTATTAGAAGATATGAAAAAGTAAATAATGTTAACTATAAAAACAAATAGTTCATATAGTCATAGCCAGAATATGGTTAACAGTCAGTTTTGGGTGGGATGAATTTACTGATGGCCGGATGTTTAGTGGCTCGAACTCGTATGTCACATCTCTCACAACAGATGTAGAAAATTGACATTCTTATTACAAGGGAAAACGATGGCAGGCATCAGAATAAAAAAATAAAGCTGACAGAAGAAATCGAAAAAAATGAGTAAATAAAAGGAATATTAGAAAGAGACAATGAAGAAATCGTTTATTAGAGAATGGAGAGCGAGAAAGGGAAAAGAAAAGGAAAAACATAGTGATCGAGAAATGAAAAGAGAAAAGCAGGTTTGTGTGAGAGAAAATGGTGAAGATAAAAAGAAGAAAAGGCAGTGAAATAAAGAAGAAGTCAGAAACGGCAGAAAGAATGAAAGGAATGGTGAAAGAAAAAATTGAAAAGAAAAGATAGAGTAAAAAGGATGAGAAGAAATATAAGAAGAAAGACAAAAAAAGAAAATGAAAAATATAAAGAAAACAAAAACGGTGAGAAGAAAAACACGTAGTAAGGAAATTAAAATGTATAGATTAAAAAAGAAAGTACGAGAAAAAAAATGACATAAAAACGGAAAGAATAAAATGAACGAAAAGTAAAGTGAAAAAAAAAAAACACAATGAAAGACCACGGGAAGAAAAACAGAGAAATAACGAAGAACAATTAAAAAAAATGGTAAAAAATACAAAATGCAAAAATAAAACTTAGCAAATAACGAAGCCATTATAGTCATGAATGTTCATTTTTACATCCCTTTGACGGAGCAAAGCTCTTTAAACATGAATGCTACAATTTTTTAAAAGAATTTTTGCGGTAGGGTAAGATAGAGTGGCAAGAAAATATTGCATCTTAGATGAGCTCAACTGTCTGCTCTCGGCTGTCTCTCTGGTGCCGCCATTGCGATTTTCCTGCCTTAGGCGTAGTCACCTCCAATAAGATGGCGTTGAACAAACGTGACGTTGGGACTCAAGTTTGCTCATTTGCTTGTTTCAAATGTCAGTCAAAATGGCGGTCGTTAATAAAACATATAAAAATAACTAAATAAAACTAAATGAATATAAAATAACAATAACTTAAAGGAAAAAAGGAAATGAAATATTGGAAACAG